TTTACCAAGGTAAAATCTGTTGAAGGTCAAAGGGATCTTTTACTCATGAGTGGAGGGAAGGATAAGACTCTTTTCCTTGAAATCTGTATCAACTGTGATAATTTAAAACTTTAATTAAAGACTCAGTGACAGATTATCTACAAAACGTCTTCCTGCTGCCCAGTATTTCATCACAAATGTCTCCAGAAGCCCACGCTAACGTGAGTAAGCACACTTGCCAGGAAGTATTTCATTGTGGACATGTCAGCTTTTATCTGTCTTGTTGGGTAACAAATTCTTTTATTGAGGATTGGTGGCAACAAAAATTAAATTAAAAGCAAAACCAGACCCCAAAACAGAAATTTATAATGCTTATTCTATTCATCCCTCAAGAAAATGAAAGTGCCAAGGCAAAGACTATTTCAGCAATTGCATTAATGTATGTGTAAATGGGTGAAGGCGCCTTTGAAATGCTCTGAAAAGAATTTCGCACTTTAGAGAGAAGTTAACAATTCTATTGTGGTTATTTATTGGAATTTTAAAATTAATTTCCCCGACACAGCTGTGCCATAAAATCCCCCATGATGATGAGTTTTTGCTACTGTTGAGATTATTTTTGGATACAATTCTGAAGGAGCACTTTGTGAAATCAGGAGAACATGGGTCGCCGGGAACCCTGCGCTGCCCTTTCCTTGCCTCCACTCACCTCCAGCCTTGCTCCAAGCAGCCGTGAGGCTGCTAATTTGAAATTGCATCTGTTTTTTCTTCCGTGGAGCAGCAAACGGGACAGATGCACAAGCAGCGTGAAGCTCAGCCCCCTTAGAGCAGTGGGCAAAGATCAGCGTGTCGCTAACTCAGCACGGTGCTGGAAGAAGGACCTCCAAGGCCACCCATGGACTCTCTGCTGGAGCACATCTATTCACCCCCCCCCAAAAGGGCACGTTGGGAGCTGGTAGTTTTGGCTCTGAACAAACAGCACTGGTGAAATGCAATGAATTCCTTCCTCCCTTTGAGCACAGCAATAGGTGAGCATTGTTTGGATCTGGCAAAGCAAAGGAACCCTTTCAAGATTAAACCAGACTAAGAGATGAAGTGATGATACACCGGGGATTCCCTCCCATCCCTGCCTCCTGCATCCTTGCCAGACCACGACCAAAGGGTTGAAGGAAATGTAAAGAGCAACCTTGCAGCAATGCACAAGGAAGGGCTTTAAAAAAACCACACATCCCACCAGTGACAAGGCTCATCCCACAGCAGGGGATGGACTTCAGGAGAGGGACAAGCAGAGGTTTGGAAATGAAGAGTTCAGGGTCAGGTGAGAAGACCCAGGGGAGGATGGGGACCTTGTCAGGGATTTTTGCCTGGAAAGGCTTCAGTTGTAAGCAGAGTGGATGGATGTTCTCATGGAGCTGCAGGGGAACCTGGGGGCAGGAGGGATAGCACAGATGGTGGCAGCCACGCGCTTGGTTTTAACAGTGGCAGGCGAGTTTCATATCCTGCAGAGGAGAGAGTTAACAACAACGCTTTGTCTGGAGAAGTCACAATGACTAGAAATAACAACTTGAGGCCATAATTCTGGGATCTGTCACTACCAGGAAATGTGAAATCCAGTGACCTTTCTTCTCCAAGAGAGAAATGCTGCACAGCACCTGGAGCCATGACCCTTAAAATCCACTCTGACAAATTGGATGATGGGACATGAAGGAGAAAATGTCCTCTCCTTCCCTACCCCCAAATTTTAGCCTCCCAGTGAACTCCGCCTGCTCCGCGTGTGATGTGGCATCCCTTGCCGAGCAGAGACAGCTTTGCAGGAGATACACTGCATTTAGCGAAGCACAGGGTAACAATTCTATTTCTTTTGACAATAAGGAATAAATCTCCAAAGTCACTTGTTCAAGACTACTCCTAAATGATGGGAGAGGGAGAGAAATTGATATTGGTTTTTTATGAATCTTCAGGTCAGGTATGTTAGAATCAACAGATTTTTGCATTAACCTCATTGCTTCACCGCACTTCTGCCCTTGGCAAGGCATAATCAAGAAAGGCATGAGAATCTATCTGAATGTATCGAGAGGAAATTATTCTCCCGTTAATGGCAGCAACTGCTAAACAAGCAGGCAAGCCGCGCAGCAAATGACGCAGGGCCATGTTTAATCCAAAATCAGGATTTTCCTTACCAAAATTTTAAGGAGCAGCTTTTGAAACGAGGATTTACACCACATGTTGTTCTAGGGATTAACTTTTTTTCCTGCAACACCTGTATCCCTTGAGCTCTTCCGTTTGCCAGTCTAAAATGATGACCACAGGGACTGAGCCTAAGCTAAAACCTTTTCATCACACTGAGACATGGCGCTGTAACTGTCTTCACCACTCTGGTAGAAAGCAAAAGCTGCCGGATGGAAGGAAAAACCCAAATAAATTTAAAAAAAGGGGGGGTTCAGTCATTTAAGTGGGTCTGTCAGCTTGTGTTATCTTCATGCATTTGTGAAACTCAGCTTTAATTGACTGGCTGCAGTGGAGAGCTGAGAGAGAAAATCTTGGTCTCTAGATGAACAGGCAGCCTAAAGCCTTGCGATCCTCATTCATTAGGATGTGTCAGAAGGGGAAGAGAAACAGCAATGCCTTTTACTCTTCCACATGAAGTTCCCAAAAATGTAAGTGGGAGGCGAAGGGTGAGTGCCACACTCGGAGCCACAGCCAGGAGCCATCACAAAATTTGCTCATCAGATTCCCTGTGACAACAGAGATCATCTTGGCGCCTATGTGTTTCTATCACGTTGTGAATTACTTCATTTGTGAAGGACAAAGCCAAAATTACAAGCATCAGCCAACCATCACCCAGTCAGCGCTGGCTGCAGCAGGAGGAGCAGAAAGCCCTGCCAGCTGGGGGGTCTCACATCTCTTCCCTGCAGCCAGGCTGAGATGCAAGGCGGGGTTCAGCTCCCTTCCACAGTACCCCATGCAGACATGCTCCTCAATCCCGGGAACAGCCACACCACTGCTGGCTGAGATCTGTGCTGCAAGCCAAGTCTCTTTGGCCCCAGAGACCAGGATCCCCAAGGCATGCAGGCTGCTCTTAAGAGGAGGGGGAGAAATACTTCCCTGACTAAAACAGGTTTCAGAGAACTTTGCATCTGCACCTCCAACAGATGAGTGAAGAGTGGAGTGGAGAAATTCAGCAAAAAAATTTAGGGGAAGCCTCCTGGCCTCTAGTTGAGAGTCCCAAACACTACACTATGCCCTGGAGTCCCTTTAGCAGGTGGTTGATTTTCCTTCTGTCCTCCTGTCCTCGTTCCCATCCGAAGGAGCTGCTTTTTCCCTGTCCTCCTGGTTATCTGGGCACTCTGACTGTCTTTGGAAGAAACGTGCTGCCCACTCCCACTCACCAGGGATGCTGGGGACTGCAACACAGAGAGCCACCAATCCCCAAAGTGCGGGAGTCTGGTTACTGGGAGGAATGGAGATGGTGGTGAAGGGCTGGCTGGGAAATCCAGCAGCTGCTGGACCTGTGTGAAGCCCCCTTGAGTCTGCACTCCTGGGAAGCCTGAGCAATGCTCACAGTTTGGATTCACGTGACACAAACCAGACGGGAAGGAATGAGCAAGTGCTGCCACCGTAAATGAGGAGGATTCAGCATGGTACCCTATACGCCATGGGAATACAGCGGCCAAACACACGTGAGCGGGTGTAAATGAGTCTGAGCTATGGCGACAGGCACAGCAGTGGCCAGTGTCACCCCCCCAGTCATCAACCCAAGACATCAACCTTGCTGAGTGGGATGGGAAGCCTCACACCCAAGCGCAGCGGGCCATATGAAAAGGTGGTGGGTAGAGCAGGTTAACACACCTTTTCTCTGAAGTTCATCAACAACAAACCAATGAAATTCCCTATGAACATTTTCTGCTTTTCAACAGAAACATAAAACCCTAAATGAAAACATTTTAGAATATTTTTGAGTAAAAATCATGGTATAATATAAACCTCAGGATTTCAAGTAGTATTTTTGGTATAATTCTCCAGACCGGTCTTGATTTTGCCAATTCCTTTAGTAAAAGTATTTTTCATTTCCAATTCTTTGCTTTTTCTCTGTCTTAAAGAGCAGAAAATGTGCTGAAAATGTTATTTGTAAACATTTTCATTTAGATCCCAAAGCAACCATTACTCTTATCCAGCAGTGGTGATGCATGTAAGAGGAAATATATATGGATAGTGAATTCTAAACATAAGAAGATGAGTCTAAGCAGCCATTTCTTATAAGTTAAGAAAGCCATGAAGAGGTTTCTGTGAAGCTGGCGGACCTTTTAATCTGTCTTCATATCTACATTAGGAGGAAGGTGCTTTTCCAGAGACATATGTGCGTATGGGCTGCGGTACAAGACCAGGGAGACCTTCTTGGTAGCAGATTTATTTTCCAAAGAGGTACTTTCAGTCATCCCAAAACCCTTCTTGAAAGTATTGCTGAATCAGACTCCAACTCATGAAATCATTTCAGCAG